CAATTTCATAAAATAATATTAATTTAATATATAGATTTCGTTTTATATTATATAATATTGCATATCGTTGTGTATATCGCATGTATGTGCGGTGTATGTTTTTGTTGTGTATACGTATTACAATATATTATTTTAGTCGCTTAAATATGTCGTTTGATTATTATTTATGATGTGTATCGTACGTTTGATATGAGAGGGTCAATCCCATATTTTTTGACGAATAAGAGTGAATGTTGGCACAGACAGTGGCTGGGTTAAGGCACTTTGGGGTGATTGATTCTCTCCGCAGTACCCTCCAGCATAACTATCTTATCGAATTCTCCCCGCTCCCTCTCCGTATTCCTCCTGCAACCTTGTTGCCTGCTTTTTCTCCTCTCCGTTTACTTTTACCTATACACGCCGTACGTAATATTATTCTTGCATGACCGCGCGGCTCTTTATCTCCCACTTAATTACGCGATTCTTTAACTATTTTTAAAGTAAAATACGCTGTCTCTGATGAGCATTGGAGTGTAAATGGCGAATCGAGCACAGCTTTCACAGCGGTTTCGTGAAGTTCCCCGGGAACATACCCTTTTCATTGGTGCCTTCTTTGATACCCATTAACCAGCCTTCTTCCTGTAATGAACAAGGAACATTGTAAGAAGAAACGTCGGAAACATGTTAATGAATACGTTTAGATTTTCTAACATGTCGAGTCTTATTTATTCCAAGAATTACGGACCTGTTCTTCGGGATCGTCGTATTCCACCACGCGAATAATCTCGCCAACGTCGAACGATAACTCGTCCACATCCTCGCGACTGTACTTGTAAGTGGCTTTAACCCTGTATAAAACACCCGGCGGCAGATTGTCTGTTGTCGCCCCTATAGAGAAATTAGCAGCATTTTCATATTCCGCCTCTAGAACGACTGAGTCCGTCCCCTTAGTCATGGACCTGCCTGTGATTTCGTCCATATGGAGACTTCGATATATATATCAATTATGTGCAAAGTTTTGTTTCATTCGTCTAATGCTCGTATCACATTAACGATTGAAGATTTGCGTCTCTTGACCAATCAAAAAGGAATTGCCGGCCAGCGGCTTCTTTCCGATTAAGAGACGCAAACGCGGACGCAATAATCAATCACTAGTGTGATACGAGCATAACTTCATAATTAACATTTAATTTCACAACTAGGTCAAATTAACTACGATCTTGTTTCGGCAAGACCATGCACATAGGGGCAAGCAGCGTACTACTGTTGTATTAACAATTATCCGATATTGCAAATTTAATAAATTTGATTCATTGTTACGTTATATACGCGCAAATTTACGTTGAAATTCGAAACAATTTATTGAGCTCGACATACAAAATAAATCAATCGACAATTAAAATATCGTTTATTTGTTTTTGCAAAATACGATTCAATTTTATTTACTGTAACAAGAATCTTTGTTACCGAATTATGCAAATATTTTTAATATTGCAAACAAATGACGCTAAAAACACTATTTTTAAATTATTAAAGATAAAAATTCGAAAATGAAATAATTACTCAAGATTATTTCGGTTGAAATCGCCAAGATCAAATAACGTTAGGAAAAGGCACATTAAAAAACACGGCAAAGTTTAAAAATTCGCGAACGACTTACCAACTGGAATATCATACAGTTCCTCGACTCGTTTAGAAGGCGCGACTGCGTTCTGCGGCGACGCATCCTGATTATTGAGAGAGTTATCATTGCTATTAGCGTTGCTATTAGCGTTGCTGTTAGCGTTGCCGTTTATCTGGGTGGTCGGCGACGTGTCTCTGGCAACGGGCGCGGTATCATCTAAAGCTGAAACACGCGAGAGGAAGCACACTCAAAACTGAATGCCGAAATAATTAATATACACGCGCACAAATTCAACTTGAACAAAGATACAGCGAAATAATTACCTCCTGAGATATTGTTCTGCGCCGGCTGCGTGTTAATTATTAGGCTGAAAAAAATCAACGTTATTAATATTATATAACTATTACATATCTCTTTAGGTTTTATGTTTTGTATTAGTTATTATCGTATCATATTTTATGTAACAACCGCTTTAATATTATGTTTTATATAATTGCAGCTTTGCCAAATAACGTTTTCCTTTTGTAATTACTGATTTTAATTCTTCGCAATAATTTTGATTTTTGCAGACTCAATCTACTTACGACGAGTTCGCGTTAGGTGACTTCGGTGATTGCGGTTCCGTATTCTTCTTCAACGTGTAAGATCCTCGCTGACTTTCATTAGCCAATTTATCAACGATTGCTTCTAATTCGGAATATACCTAGGAATATGAATAAAAAAAGACATAATAAGTATATTATAAAATTCTGTAAATTAAAAAATTTTTATATTTCAATAAAGAAACTGAATTAAATTCACATTGAAGTCTGTTAGAAATTAATAAATAAAATTCTGTAATATTAAATCTTGATCGAAGAAGTTTAAAAAAACATTTTTTAAAGAACCCATCCTTATTATTTTTATTGAACCTTATTATTACTAATTCTTATTACTTTAGATACCTTGGCACTTTCAGTATGAAACACTTGCTCCGCAGCGAAGAGTGTCTGCAAATTTGTGACGAGGAAAAGAACGCGCGAGTCGTATAATGCTGGCAGTTCGTCGTGCAGTTCGGAATTTAGTTGTTCGTATGTACGTTTTGCTTCTTCTAATAGCTCCTTCCCCCGGGATACTTTGAGCTCGTCTCTTTTTTTTGGATTACCCTGCAACGACTGGAAGTTGTGTCTCTGACTGTCGTAATCTACCAGTTTGCGTCCGCGTTTGTCGACCTTTTTCTGGAAAATTAATGCAATCCTCGAAATGTAATAGCTTCATATATCTTATTATTAATTTCCTAAACTACAGCCATTATCAACTCTGATCCTATTGTAGAGATCGTATAAAATATCAAGTAAAATTCTCGATTCATTTTCAATCTTTTTATTATTATTTTTAATATATAATTTTACGTTTAAATTATTATTCTCTGTTTATAATAGCAAGTAACAAAATATTATTTATTAATTTTATAAAATAAAGATTTATTAATTTATATCTACTGTAATCTAATTGTGATTTTAATAGTTTTATTTTTTAAAACAAATGGTAATAAAAAAGTATTATTAATAAAGAAATTGTGTGGTGCAACCATTGGGGATTACATGTACAGGACGTACCCTCATTTCCGGAAATTGACTTTGATACGTGTTGAGTGGTACAAGAACTTGGTCCGCAAGTTTGTGAGTGAAATCTTGCCACAGCATGTCAAGATTTTGTGCCTGCACGTACAACAGGTCGTGCCCGGTCCATTGACTCTCGTAGATCTCATTCAACGAGTCCATGAGCGTCTTTGAGGCAGCCTGCACCGCTGCAAAATGAAACACACACGTCGTTTCGCTCAATTTTCTCATCTATTTTTCATTGGCATTTTATTTGTCATTGAGAAAATTTTATTTCTGCTATGGGAAAACGTGCAGAAGATTCACGAAGAGATTCGCATGGCAAAGATATTGGAGGAAGATGAAGAAGACATCTCTCAAGTCGAAGACGCCGCATAACACGGTCGTCGGGAGAGACGATGTTGTTTCGCAAGCCGTAGAGAGAAACTTTTTCACGCCGATTTTCCATCAAACGGCGACACGTGTCTTTTTACTTCAGGAATAAATGTGCGACGCGGGTGACTACTTTCCTGACCTACATCTAAACCGCTCTTATAGTGCATTCCCCTGCGGCGATAAGCCGATTGCTTATAAATTCCTTCTGCAAAAGTTGCAGAACGACGTTTTATCGCTTGCGTCCAATTTCGAATTGCAAGAAAACGAAAGATGTAATCTTCTATATATAAACTGATATGATATTTTATTTATATGTTAACATTGAAATAAAATTTTCCATCAAAAGATTTCTTATAATTCTATTATAAATTTTGATTAAATAGCATATATCCAAAAAAATATTGCATTTAAAGCCTAACTGAATAAAATAAACAAAAAATAAATGAAATAAAATAAATTGCTTCACATTGCTTTCACATAGAAAATAACGACTTTCAGTGAGTCAACGAATTGGTGCAACGAAACTGTAAGCGCGTGTTTCTGAAAAATTTACTCTAAAATAATTACATTTATCGGGACAAGCATAATTAAACAATTTCACGACTACATTGTAAATTAATTTTAATAACCACATATAAATTTTAACAGGCACAACTGATGGTAATCAACATCATTCATGTGGCGCAAATGTATCTAAATGATTCGTCGTTAGTGCAAATTACAGTAAACGGGCTGCCATAATGATAACTCTCAGTATAATCGCTTTTTACCCGATTCAATGAGTCGCGCACCGGCGTCCTCATTATATAGCTCCTTCTTTTCTCTCATCTGGAACTTGGACTCAGACATACAGCATGCGGCGACGAAAAATTCGCGAAAATTGTGACGAATCGTCATTCGGCGATCGAATTTGCAACGCGTTACAGACACACTTTCATCGTATTTTACCATTGCCCGCATTTATAGTGACAGAGGGACTTCGTCGTCGACACGTTTCGCATGCGGGTATTTATGTCCGTCCGCTGACTGATAAATGGAAAGCTAAGAGCTGTTAAAGCGGCAGACTTTGAGATTAACACCTTCTCTGAGGAAGTCATCCGCAACCGCATCGCGACGTTTGTCTAACGGGAAACAGTGTCCTCAAAAAATAGGAACTTCGTACCTATTTTTTAAACACATTTTTGACGATTTTTGGTTGGTCTCTGGCGAAAATTAAAATTCGTGGTCAGCGATGTCGAAGCGCAGAGGCTATAAAAACGATCACATCGCTGTAGACCAGCCAAGCGTGGAAAAGTTGTTTGCGACTAACAATTCGAGTGGGAGGGATTAAAGATCGAATGACGTTTTTCTATTGATTTCGCGCGTGTTTGCTGGCCTCGTGTCAAGACTCATGTTGAGGTGAGAGAGAGAAAGAGAGAGAGAAAAAGTAAGCGCATCGACGGGTCTCCAGCTTTTAAAACGCGTAATTCCATTCGTGAAACAGATAGAAACCTCATAAAAACCTAAAGACTTTATCGAAGGATCATCGGCATGTGAGCATCAGTATCAATTGCTTTGCAAATTAATATAATAATTTTGATTGATATAATTTTATTGTCAATAATCCAAAATTGATGATAAATTTATGCCTATGTGAATTATAATGTACTTCTACAATACGCAATATGTATATTACGCAATCAATAATCATAATCACTCCATGATTTTGCATTATAAATCACAGTATTATATCATTATAAATCAGAAACGCGGAGCAAGATTTAACTATCAAGCAAATTAGCTCTATAAAACTAGCAAGATCAAATCAGACCTATCGGAATTTTTAGTACTCATTTTGTACTAAATTGTACCATTAATCATAATTTTGTACCGTGTGCCGATTTCGAAAAAAATCCGTGGTGCTGCTAACTTAATATTAAACTGGCAGGATCAATTCCAAATAAAAGAAAAAAAGAAAAATAATATCAGAAATCAATAGGATTGAATTTGTACTATTTTGTACTACCAAAAACAATTCTATATTGTGTCATTTTCAAAAAAAACAGTGGCGCTGGTTGTTTAATATTTAAGTCGGCAGGACCATAAAAAAACAACACAAAGGCAAAAATTAACACAACTAAATTTGTACTAATTTGTATGTACCATTGAAAGTAAGTTAATATTTTACATGTTTTCTTAAAATAACTATTAGTATATACTTACAATCTATGAGGCATTCCACGTCAAATCGGGCACCTTTGAACCATCGTCATTTAATTTTTTTTAAAATTTGCTAACATTCTACAGATAATAATATGAGACATGTGTTGCGCGAAAAAAGTGAGATTTTTTTGTGAAGTTATTGTAAGTTGCAGAAATTCATAAAAAACGTTGCTCATGCATTCAAATTATTATATCGTCGAAACCATTAGTCGTAAAAAAAAAATGCAAAATTTTCCAAGATTAAAAGTCCGATTTTAAAGACCTTAAATTGTCTGGATAATAATAAATTCAGTTGTGTTAATTTTTGCCTTTGTATTGTTTTTTTATGGTCCTGCCAGCTTAAATATTAAACTAGCAGCGCCACTATTTTCTTGGAAATGACACATAATATAGAATTATTTTTGGCAGTACAAAATAGTACAAATTCAATCCTATTCTAAATCCCAACTAGTATGATACAATTCAATCAAAATTCGTATCAAATCAAACTAACAAAGACTCCTTATAAATCAAAAGAACTAGGAAAGAACATGGGCAATAGGAGTCAAGCGCAGAAGACGTTGCGCAAATAATACACCCATAAAGCGTAAAACTTCTTTATTCTACTTTAAAAAAAAACGCGCTAAATCAATCAAAATTATTAAATTAAAACAAATTTGATTTGCTTATTATTATACATATAAAGTTGCTTTTTTGATCAATTTTATAATATTCTTCAAAAGGAAATAAATTCTTGTTTTGAGGACAAAATAAATTTTTAAAAATTTATAATAAATTATTTTAGAATTATTATATCAAGAAAGGATTCTTTGTTAAAGATAATCGTAACTTAAAAGAAAAAAGTAAATTGACCAATTATTTTTCTTAGCAATAGAATACTTTTCTGTGTGTATTGGAAAAACCAACGAATTGTCTTTATCAATTTCGACTGCAACTTATCGATTGCATAGCTGATGGTACCTCAGGTTACTGCTGTGTGTCTATCTGAAATATTCAACATTCAATCGCGACAAGGCTATGTGGCTTAACATTTCGGACACGGCGCTACTGGAACAGTGCGAAAAATTGCGGCGTATTACGCGGAGAGTAATGCCTTCCTGTAGAGTGCTATCAAAGGTCGTTTCGCATGTGCCATATACCTCTACGGTGCATTACCGAATATACAGGCGATTAAAATATTACGCTGGTTCCTCTCAACAGTAATTGAGCCTGCGCGGGATCGCCGGTCGTTATTCAATGTCTGCAAGTTATTCACATCTGTCCGTCATTTATCCGAGAGACGATAGCGAATGGAAGTGTCGATTGACGGACAGCGAAAATCATTTCCCCGATTGTCGATGACAGCCTTTGTTAAGTTAACAGAAATCAACTCTCCATCATGTGAGCGATAAAGACTTCCACAGGAAAGAACGGTTTTGCTGAAGTATCTAAAGCTAAAAACAGATCTAAAATAATTTCTAGACTATCATAATAATTATATAAGACGTTCAAACTGATTGTTAGAATATTAGAACTTTTTGTAATATTGCTTATCACATTTGAGTTTTCTACAGAATTATTTTGATGGTCCACCAAAATTATTTTCAGATCTGCACCTAACTATAATAAATCAGGTTATGCCGTATATTTCAAGATTACATTTACATGTAATTTTTTTACGTATTGTTTACGTTAAGTTTATACGAATCTTTTTCATGTGGATAATATGAATATACAAGTAAAATATATAAATTATTATAAATTGAATAACATAATATAGAAAAAAAATTGAGCTTTATTAATATCTGATTTTACAGGGTTCTTAGTAAAAAAGAAAAAAAATTTCCCTGACTTTTCCTGGTTTTCCAGGTCACTTTTTGAAAAAATTCCCTGATTAAAACCTGAAAAATTCTTTGAATAGAAACCAAGAAAAATATTAAAATATTTTATTTTATAAACGTACAATAAAAAATATTTATATTCAAAGAATTATTTATTTTAAAGAACAAGTTGAAAATATAAATAATAATACGATACTTGCAGTGAGCGTGTTGCAAATGTTAAGTGGAACATACGATTACTGATACTGTGATACGTAACGAGTTAAAAAACAAATGAATTACGGGAAACGGCGGATATAAGTATATGTATTTTTATTTTGCACATTGCTTATTGACATTTTTGTCCGTATTCATAGTCAGACCTTATATTCAAGGCTTCTTTAAATTTATCTTTAGATGCTCAGTAGCCAATAAAATAATTCGTAGAGCATTAATCATTTTTAATTAAAACACTGTATGTTCCAATTATCATTTTAATTAATTTTAATTAGAAATGATTTACGAAATGTTCATCATTAATACATAGATATATATTTTGATTTTTACAAAGTTGTTAAATTTTTTCTTTTTAACAATGTCTGTTAATGTTTTCTGCAAAGGTTTTTAAGGTTTTCTGCAAATTGCTCATTGTAAAATTAAAAATAAAAAAAATATTTGCATTGCTTCTTTAAGAAATTAAAAAAAATTCCATTTCATAATTTTTAAAGAAGTTTAAACTTAAAATTTTTTACAGTAATTTAATTTTATTTTAGGTTAATATATTCCTTGATAACAATTTCCCTGACTTTTCCCGATTCTCCCTGACTAATTTTTAATTTCACTGACTTTTTCTGGTTTTCCTTGATTTTCCTGACCGCTAATAACCTTGTTTTGTTAATATTGATAAATGAAAATATACAAGCGATAGAAACTTTAGTGCAGTACAGTACAATGTCAAAAAATATAAACGTTGATTAAGATTCAAAATAATTTCTATTCTTTTTATCATATCCTCATATGGCGCAAAATTTTTATTTATTTTATCGTCAGTAGTTAAATAATTTTTATATCGTAATGTACGTAGAGGAAAAAAAGAGGTAAGAGGATACGGTGAAACTGCAGGCATATCTATAAATCAATGCCGAGTTAAACACGTATCGATAAACGCATTTATCTCAATCTGCAAAAAAGAGAGGGCAGAGTACGGAGTTACAGAGCAAATAATTCAGCCTCCACGTGAGCTTAGCAACCAGATCACGGCGATGCAAGGTTGCGCGAGTCTTTTTTTCTTTTTAATGTATGTCGCATTTTGCATGAGTTAATTCGAGTAAGATATTTTTATAAATGTGCAAAGGATTTTACTGCTTATACCACAGATGTTACGAAAGAAAAGATTGTTAAGAAGACTCTTTTCAGAAATTCGTGAAATAACAAGTATTTTTATATAAACCTCAATATACTTTACGTTAATATTAAATTCATATAAAAAAAAGACGTTCGCAACTGGTTAAAGAATTAATAATTGAAAAAAATAACCTTCAAACACTCTCTACAATGCAGCAGTTATATTTAAGATATTAATAACTAACAAGACTCGCCAGATAAATGGCTATCGTCGCTTTCCTGTTGTGCAGTTTTAACTACGTAATACAAATTCTTACATCCGTCTAATTACTGTGAATATGTTGTTAAATAAGCGATTACATAAATTTTTGTCTAGTCAATATCGAATATATTCGAAACGCTGATTAGATAATTAAACGCTTAATCATTCAAAAGTTAAGGTGCTTAAGTGCGACGACATATGCCATCGTAATTACTGCCACACATTCGAGACTCTATAAAAAATTTCTCTATAGCTAACTGTTAAAATTTCGGTAAACTTAAGAATTTAATTTATCGCACAATATCACATTTTCCCTTTGTACTGCGTGTAAAACATGACGAACATTAGCGCGTCTAATAAATAACGATTGCCATTTAAAGGAAAGACGAGTTAGTTTTGCCCCGCGGGAAGACTTACCTCGAACACACCTGATGTAATTGTTGAACTCCTTTTGCAGTCTGTTGGCGGAGTTCTGCTGCCTTGTGAAGTTCTGCAGATGCTCGTCGAATATATCGTCCGCGGTTCGATCAACCTTGCCCAGATTCTGAAGAAACTGCAACGAGAAAAAAAATGCGTATTCAATTATTGAGTCGTTCGTCTTTATTAGTCACTGATATGATCTACGTATATTGATCCAAAATGGATGAAATTAATATAATTTGTAAAAATTATAATAAACAATAGCAATAATAATAGAAAAATATCTTTATATATGTTATAGTTTACATTTATACAAAAAATTGTAGAAACATATAAAAAAGCAAAAGCTTTAGACAATATTCCCACGAATGAATAACATCACATAAAGTCAATACGTGCTCGTGCATGAATAACGGTATATAAAATCAAAATGTGCTCGTGATTTATTGAATCACTGCATATTCATATAATCGGAAAGCTTTCTGAACTGAATAAAGCTCGGAATAAAGTTCGCGTATGTGAACTTTTGCGTGAACTCTTCCCACAAATGTCTGAGCTGCGCTGCAGCATAAGGGTGCCTCCAGACGATTTGGCTAATATAAGCCAACTTTGCACTCATTAAATTGGTCTACATTCGATCATGAATAATTATGCACGTCATGTGTCTGTATGTGTGTAATATTTAACAATGTAGCGTATATTGACCGTATCGTCTAGAAGTACCTTAAGTAGATACAAAGTATCTCCATTTTCCATATAATTGTTCAATTTTTCTTTCTTAAACTTTTTAGTCTGATCAAAATTCGACTATTGAAAATAATTTCGGGAACATAATTTTTTAATGCAAACGTCTCATCTTTTTCATTTAAAATGTATTCATTTTAATAGCGTTATTATCTAATTTTAATAGCGTCCTACTTAAAAATTTTTATGGTCTAACAAAATTATCTTTACATCTATATCTATAAGCTAAATTTT